TGAAGGTTTATCATTTTTCTTTGAGGTTACCCTATGATTTACAATTTTCTCCCCGAGTTTAGACAGTTTATTCTATCTTGCAACTCTCTTACCTTCCTCACCATTTAGAAGTTCTATAACTACACAGTCTTTTCCCTCTTTTTGTTTGTAGTTGTCCTCACTTGCCAATTGGAGATTAGGAGATTTCCAAATAAGCAGAAACTAAGCAAATTTGTTAAAACCAGACCAACTTTACAACAGATGCTAAAGGGAGTACTTTGAACAGAGAAAAAAAAAATAGCAAATAACAACCGACCATTAATACACAAGATGACATAACCCAGAAACCATAGCTATGGACATATCCAATGTAAAATGAGCTTACAAGATTGTAAACAGGGAACCAGAGACATCAATTGGGGTCCAGGATTATCTTCTGTGTCTGTGTTAATTGGTTTCCCTTTTCTTTGTCGAAGAGGGTCTGTGCAGTCTTTCTGCCTAGTCCACCATCTTGCTGGAACAGGCAACACTGTTTATCTTTATGATACACATAAATCAAGGACTTTGCTGTTTTGCAAATAGAAATGGATGTGTAATGCCTTGTGAATTCTTCCAATTACACTAGTGATTGTCAATATACTAATGAGGTAACTGGAAAACTTGGGAACACTGAATACAAAAGTATTTAAGAGTCAATACACTAAAATAAACCAACAACCCTGAGATGGAATTTCCTGTCAACTGTTATTTTTTTTCTGATACCAAAGTTTTTAGTTTTACTGAAGGATTATAAATAGGATACTAAATCCCCCCACCAAATATTGTTAATAAAGCTAAATGTCATTTAACAAACCGATTTGAGCTGGCTATTTTCATCTTTCAATTTCACAACATGTTTGATTTTTTGCTTCAGATTCTGATGGCCCAGCAGCTTAGCATATGAATCACTCAGTTTATTCAGCTGATCCTGAGCTGCACCATGCTCATTCAACAAAGCCTGTCTCTCTGCTTCAAATGCATCCAGTTGTTCCTAAAAAAGATTTTGTTTGACAAAGATAAGACTTAAAAGGCTTATAGGTTTCTTTTCTCATAAAACCAGAAAGAGCTAAGCCACAGAAAGTAAACAACAACAACAAAACAAAGTATACTGACATATTCTTATTTTCAAGCCTCTCCTTAAGCTTTCTATGAAAATCTTTTAAACTATTTTCATTTCTTAAAACAGAAAAAAGCAAGCAAGCCTGTCAGCCCATCTAACCTACATCAGCTGGATTATCACATAATGACTATATACTGTACCTTCCACTATTTTTTGTACCAAAATTAGCATTTATTCTCTTTTTCTTTAAAAAGATCACCATGTTAATTGGAGAAACACTTAGGCAGATCTTAGGCAGATCTAACAAAATACAGATCACAAATTTACATAGATTAATTCATATCAGGAAAGTTCATTTCAGGAGAGCCTTCTAAGCTATTAATTTAAAATCCCTCGTTAGCTCGTTAGCAGGTTTTTTTTTTTTTTTTTTAACCAATAAAGGCTATATTAAAAGATTTGTGAATCTTTAATAAAATATATAAGCCTTCTATAATATGAAGTTAAACTGGATTGTAAATGCACTGCAAAATTATCTTTCAGAAAAACCAAGTCACTGTAATGACTGTAAAAAGGAACAGAGTGAATTCCTAAAGCAACCACAAGTAAATTTAGTTTCTAATTGACAAACCTGAAAAGGTTTTGTTTTATTATACAGTTCTTCATAAAGGAGACGCCACTTATTAATTTCTTCAGTTAATTCTACCATTATATTTTCTTTTTCAGTTTTTCTGTAAGGGAAAATTAAATTAAAATGAACAATTAAGAAAATGTAGTAATTAGAAAAAATAATTGAGGTAGATGGCACTCAGGTTCTAAATCTAGATTACCTTGCTGCTTCTTCCAATTGTTTTTTAAAGTCTTCACCTTGTTGCTTGAGTTGGTTCTGTAAATCAGTGATTTTTTTAAGAGAAGAAACTGTAATTTCTTTAATTTCTGCTTCTTTCAGTGCTGATTTGGTCTGCAGATCTAGAAGCATCCTTGGGTTTGAGAAAGTTAAGTCTGTTAAACATTTATAGCCAAATTTACATAGATTAATTCATATCAGGAAAGTTCATTTCAGGAGAGCCTTCTAAGCTATTAATTTAAAATCCCTCACTAGAAGGTGTTTTTTAACCAATAATGACTACATTAAAAGATTTGTGAATCTTTAATAAAATATATAAGCCTTCTGTAATATGAAGTTAAATTGAATTGCATATGCACTGCAACATTATCTTTCCGAAAAACCAAGTCACTGTGATGACTGTAAAAAGGAACAAAGTGCACATAAATAATTTTTTCCTTGTTTCTTCATCATGGATTGTATTGTGTCCTCCTAGAATGTGTTGAAATCCCGGCCCCTAAATATTCTGTTTGGAATTAGTTACGTTAATTAGGTTACATCTGAGTAGGGTGGGTTCTAAATGTAATCACTTCTGAGTTACAGAACATCCAAAGTGAGGATCCTATATAAACCAAAGAACGCCAAGGAACCACAGAATGCCCAGGGCCACCTACAAAGAAGGAATCCACAAACCTGAGACCTTGATTTGGGCTTTTATCCTCTAGAACTGTGAGGAAATAACTTTCTGTTCTTTAAAATAAATTGCCTTTAATGGTTCTCAGTCAACAAGTGTAGTTTTGCTTTATTTCTTCTACAAACCTTGCATATTCTTGATTTGCACTATCAGTTGCCAAGACCTGATATTGAACATCCTCAGCACTTTTTTCAGCCTTGACCACTTTTTCCTGTAGTGACGAGTTCTCCCGCTTAAGGTCTTCGATCTCACTAGTTGTTAATGTTTTATAGATTAAAAAAAAAAAAAAAAAAAGGTCAAAGCAGCTTTCTAAATTACAAACTGACACTTGATTACTTTCCATCTTATCCACTTTCAGGTAAAATATACAAAACCTTATCATATCCACTTTCAGGTAAAATATACAAAACCTTATCATATATTCTTTTTTTTTTTTTTTTTTTT